GAGAGGGAGGGAGAGATAAACATCAACGTGAGAGGGACACATTGGTTGCCTCCCGCACGACCCTGACCAGGGCTGAGGACGAACTTCAACCCAGGTACGTGCCCTTGACTGGAATCGAACCCATGACTCTTTGGTCCACAGACCGACACTCGAACCACTGAGCCAAACCAGCCAGGACCAAATTTTAAAATTCTTATCAGACTTCAGTTTTATTCAAAATTATTTAAACCAATTAAGAAAAAAGAAAATTGCCTCTTTCACATAAGTCTAAATGTTAGGTTAAAATCTACAAGATATGCTTATAAAACACTTTTTAATTAAGTCACTCATTATATATTTGTATTTCCTCTTGCATACTTTTCATTTTGGTAACATAAAAATAGAAACAAGACAACAGAAAATCAGTTTCAGAAATAGTTTAGCTACCCTGGACCCTTACAGAGACCACCACGAAAAATAAATCTATCTCCAACGGTGTTTTCACAAAGCATGCCCGTTTCAAAGAGGTGGCTACAGGTAGACATACCACGCTGGCTTGGCAGAAGTAATCAAGAGATTTGAGTTGAGCATTTATAGAAATTTAGAAAAGAAGACTCCAAATACAAACTCAGTGTCTTTGTTGTTTGTTTCTTTGAGGCAGAATTCTTCTCAAAAGAGGTCTTATGGAGCCCTGGCCGATTTGGCTCAGTGGTTAGAGCGTCGGCCTGTGGTCCAGAGAGACCCGGGTTCGGTTCCTGCTAAGGGCGTGTACCTCAGTTGCAGTTTGTCCCCGGCCCTGGTTGGGTCATGCGGGTGGCAACCACTCGATGTGTCCCTTTCACATCGATGTTTCTCTCTCTCTCTCTCTCTCTCTCTCTCTCTCTCTCTCTCTCCCTCCCGCTCTATCTGAACAAAAAATGGAAAAAAAATGTCCTCGGGTGAGGATTAAAAAAACAAAAAAAGATGTCTTATGGAGATTCCTAATATATGAAAGACCTGGAAACAGCTGCTCTGATTGGAGCAGGGATTAGGGCCCTCAACTGCCTTTCTCGTGGCCCTTCTGCAGCTGTCCTGGTACCACCTCCTGGGAGACCTCTGGCTTACTGGAATGCTGCAAACGTCCCTATTTAATCCAAATTCTTGACTTTGCAAATGAGGGCACCTAGGCACGCAGCAAATTAAAGGGTGGGCTGGGCCCTGAATGCAGGTCTTCTGATCTCTAGACCAGAATATTTTCTGCCATACTCTGCTGCCTATTTTCAGTTCCTGAAATTAGTTCCAGACATGAACATCTTTTTCTTTTAATCACGTGGTGAACATTCCATGTTAATGGAGGTCAGGGAGAGCTACTGTGTGAAATATATTTGTGGACTACATACATCCAAATACAAGCTAATTTTTGGAAATAGATTCTGTTTTTCTGTCATCAGTTATGAATATAGAGATACACGTTTCTGAAAAATGTCTTCAGTAGGCGTTGAAAATATTTAGTTGTACAAATGGTGACCAATTTTGGACAAAGTCAAACCCACTAACCCCCAGCCCCCACCTGTCGGTTTCCTTCCTCCCTGCTTCTCGGCTGGCAGCTAACACAGCACCTAGCTTGGAAAAACAAACATTCTGCAGGGCATCCGGGACATTCTCAGCCTCAGATGAAATTCGGATTGCTTCTTCAAGACTGTGGAAGCCCATACCTTCCTAACAGAAAAACCTCATGTCTCTCCCACCTCGCTGTTGCTTCTGTGTTCTCCACCTGCTACATGTCTGCATTTGCATATTCTCTTCAGCCCGGAAAATTCTATTGAGCTTTACTTTCTTGTTTTGTTTTTTTAAATCCTTATCTAAGGATGTTTTTCCATTTATCTTCAGATAGAGGGGGAGGGGGAGGTGGGGGAGAGGGAGAGAGAGAGAAACATCAATGCGAGAGAGACACATTGATTGGCTGCCTCCTACACGACCCGGACCAGGGCTGGGGACCAAACCGCAGCCAAGGTACATGCCCTTGACTGGAATTGAACCCACGACTCTTTGGTCCTCAGGGTGACGCTCTAACCAGGGCTTGAGCTTTACTTCTTGAGTTAACTTTTTAAAAAGACAGGTTTGTTTGTGTTTTTCATTAAAAAAAAATCTTTCAATTACAATTGACATACAATAGCATGTTAGTGTCAGGCATACAACAGTGATTAGATATTTATGTAGCTATGAAGTGATCGCCGCCATAAGTCTAGCACCCATCTGACACCATGCATAGTTATTACAATATTATTGACTATATTCTCTATGCTGTAGTTTACATTCCATGACTTTTTATAACTGGCAATTTGTGTTTATTAATCCCTTCACCTTTTTCCCTCATCCCCTCAATCCCCCTCCCTTCTGGCGACCATCAATTTGTTCTCTGTATCTATGAGTTTATGTTTTGTCTGTTCATTTATTTTGTTGTTTAGATTCCACATACAAGTGAAACCTTATGGTATTTGTCTTCTTCTGTCTGACTTACTTCATTTACCATAATACCCTCTAGGTCCCTCCATGTTGTTGCAAATGGCAAGATTTCATTCTTTTTCATGGTGGAGTAAGATTCCACTGTATAAATATACCACACCTTCTTTATCCAACTGCCTACTGATGGGCACTTAGGTTGCTTCCATATCTTGGCTCTTGTAAACAATGCTGCAGTAAACATAAGGGTGCATAATCTTTCATATAGTGTTTTTTTTTTTAATTTAAATAAATACCCAGCCCTGGCCAGTTTTGCTCAGTGATTAGAGTGTCAGCCCTTGGACCAATGAGTCTCAGGTTCAATTCCAGTCAAGGGCACATATCTCGGTTGTGGTTCATCCTCAGCCCTGGTTGGGGTTGTGCAGGAGGCAACCAGTTGATGTGGCTCTCTCACATCAATATTTCTCTCTGTCTCTCTCTCTCTGTCTCTCTCCCTCCCACTCTATCTGATGATAAATAGAAGAATATCCTCAGGTGAGGAATAAAAATAAATAAGTAAATAAATAAAAAAATAAAATACCCAGAAGTGGAATTACTGGGTCATGGTAGTTCTCTTTTTAATTTTTTGAGAAATATTTACACTGGTTTCCATAGTGGCTACACCCACCAGGAGTGCATGAGGTTCATCTTTTCTCCACTTTCTAACAAACACTTACTTGTTGATATAGCGATGATAGTCTGACAGGTGTGAGGTGATATCTCCTTGTGGTTTTAATTTGCATTTCACCTATGATTAGTGGTGCTGAGCATCTTTTCATATGTCTGTTGGCCATCTGTCCTCTTTGGAGAAATTTCTATTCAGGTCATCTGTCCATTTTGTAAATTGGATTGTTGTTTTTTTTTCATGTTAAGTTGTATGAGTTCCTTATATATTTTATATATATTAACCCTTTATTGGATATATATTGGCAAATATATTCTCCCATTCGGTAGGTTTTTTTTGTTTTGTTGGTTTCCTTTGCTGTACAAAAACTTTTTAGTTTGACATAGTCCCATTAGTTTAATTTTTGTTTCCTTTGTCCAAGGAGACATAAAAAAAAAAAAAAAAAATTACTAAGAGCAATGTCAAAGAGCTTTACTGCCCATATTTTCTTCTAGGAGTTTTATGGTTTTAGGTCTTCATTTAAGGCTAATCCATTTTGAGTTTCTTCTTGTATATGGTGTAAGAAAGTGATCCTAGTTTTGTTCTTTTGCATGTATCTGTCCAGTTTTCCCAATACCATTTATTGAAGAGGCTGTCTTTACCCCATTGTATATTCTTGCCTCTTGTGTTATAGATAATTGACCATACATAGGCATGGGTTTATTTCTGTGCTGTCTATTCTGTTCCACTAATCTATATGCCTGTTTTAATGCCAGTAAAAAAAATAGTCATTTTATATAAATACAAAAATACTCCCACAATTCTGATATGTTGCTTCTGGAGAAGGGTGTGGGTGTGTGGCGAGTTAAGACTCCTGGTTAATAGTCATTGAAGTAGATACCCATCTTTAGCTTAATATTTTTCTTGTGTTTTTAAATGTCTAATTCTGACAAAACCAAATGTTGTATCTGTTATTATCTAAAATATGATATGTGAATAAAACTTCTTTGTGTAAGTGCCATATGAAATTTGACATATTAAGTTTAATGTTAAAATGTATCTGGCCTCTATAACACATTTTTAAAATTGCTTTACCTTTTTTCTCTTGCTTTCTACCCATTCATGAACACCTACTTTTAATCGTTACTTACAATATTTTTCATCCAGTATTAGAATTGGTTATATATTAATCATTAAGCAGCCTTGACTAATGTGATTCAGTTTATGCAGTTAGAAGACTGTGCCAGCAGATAGCAGGGTAATAAAAAGTGACATATTGGTGTCACATCTGAGATCTTATTTTTTCAAAATCACTTAGCCTTTTTATGTATAAAGATGTATTTTTTTTTTCAAACTTGAGTGTGCGAAAAATATCTATTTTATTTTCTCTAAATCAAGTTGAGCCTGCTTCAAGCCCCACCGGCCTGGGAGGTAGGAAGTTAAATCTGCCATCCTGGTACTTTGCACCCTCTCTCGGGCCACGTAACGGACCTTATGCAGACAGAACATTCAGGAAAGACTTCTCTGGTCTCCAGTCCATACCAGTTACCATGAATACAGTCCCAGCCACCATGGTCCTTTGTAATCAGGATACTTCGTGGCACTTTTAGGGACAGGAATCTAGCTTTTCTGGATGTACCCCAGGTATTCCCTTCTCGGGTTTAACATCCCATAGGGGTGCCACTGAGGAGAAAGGTGCAGGTCTCTGTCTCTTGGAAAATCCACAGCCTTTGGTCCCTTTCCAAAGTATAACCTTCTTGTCCCTTTGGCTCTTGTCACTTCGTTTTTATCGCTGAAGGCCTATGTCTGTCTTTCTCGTCCACTCCCAACATAATGCCCTCTTTACAATGAAACCTTGGAAGGTTTTAGAATTCAATTCAGACAACAGTACTTAAAAGTAATCTTTAAATGGTTAACTTTATTATTTTTATGGCTAGCCAGATAACATGTATGCTATAGCATTCATTAGAATTAGTTTCAATGAGACAAGTTTAAATTAAATATCCGTATTAAATATTTTGTAATGACATTTTTAATTTTAGGATACTAGTGTTTGCTTGTTAAAAACATAGTTAAATAAAACTATAGTATTATAGCTTTCAGAACAGAGTTCCTATTTTTACCCTACTCTGCTATTATTACCGTAGTATATAGATTTAAGAATAAAGTGTCTATTGTGCAGTATAAACATAATTTTTATTTCTATTAGTATCGAATACTAAAGTTAGAATATTCAAGTTTGGAGATGGTTTTTTCATTAGAAAAGTCCGTGTGGTCAATACGAGAACTAGGACTTCCAACCTTGCTCAGCCAGGACTTCCTACAAAAAACAAACAAATAAAAATTAGCATGTAAAGTATATATAGACAAGCTAAAATGATCCCACAATGGAAGTTTACTTTTGCATATAATGTAAAATATGAATTCTTTTATATTATATATTAAGCATAGTCAACTACTGATGATTTCATATTGAGGTTATTAACCCCTCTTAAAACATATAAGGCCACTACCACCTAGCTCTTGAGCTATACAAAAGGATCTAAAATGTTTTTACAAAGAGGTAAGTAATAAAAGTAATTCACCATTGTTTTTTTTCTCATTATTGAGAACCAGGTAGATATGGGGAGAGAGAATGGATGAAAGAATAAATATGATTTTCGATGGACATTTTTTCTTATCTATTCAAAAACCATTTCTTACCATATGTATTAGCAAACTGGCTGCATTAAAGGGACAAGTTAAATGATCTGAAACTATTTTTCTGCTGCTATAGTGCAATGGTATTCTTAATTTATTAGCAGTACTGACATGTCTAATTTATACATTTGGGCACTTACCTGAGATGCTTCCTATATAATTAAGGTTTATTGTAATATAGTTGAAAACTCAGCTAATACTGTTAAGAATTTTCCAGAAACTTTCTACCTATTAATAATTAGTTGGGATAACAGAGTAAGTGGGCCTACAGGTTAATATGAGGCCATTTTCTACAAGTGACGGCAGCTTTTGTAGCAACATCCCAGACTTTCCTCATCTCCCCAAAGTTCTTTCAAGTTGTGAAACTAGTGCTGTGTACAGCTGTGCAGCAGCATCTCATACAACCTTGAATTAAAACTGTTTTCCAGGCTGAACTCGTCTGATTAGCTGAAAATTGCTGCTGGCACGAGGAGAATTCTAATGCTTCACATCGCCATGGTGCTCATTTATGACAGTTTTACCAGGAAAGGTGACTTTTCATTTTTCTTCTTTCTTGGAAGCTAAGCCATGAGTACAGTAGTACATTTTATTCTCTCCAACTCATTTAATTGAAATTTTAAAAATGGAAATTACACGTGTTGAAGAATAAAATTTACTTATTATGAAAAGGAGTTGATGACTTCAATTTTACAAGTCAAATCTCCTTGAAACTTCTAGAAAAGAAAAGCCAGAAATAATAGAAGCTAATATATTTTTTATTTTTTTATCCTCACCCGAGGACATTTTTTGTTCAGATAGAGTGGGAGGGAGAGAGAGGAAGAGAGATAGAGAGAGAAACATTGCCGTGAAAGGGACACATCGAGTGGCTGCCACCCGCACAACCAACCAGGGCCGGGGACAAACTGCAACCGAGATACGTGCCCTTAGTGGGAACCGAACCCGGGTCTCTCTGGACCGCAGGCCGACACTCTAACCACTGAGCCAAATTGGCCAGGGCGAAGCTAGTATTTATTGTGCACCGACTGCTCAGCAGTGTGCTAAATTCTTTATAGATACTAGTTAGACCACACATTAACCCTATAAGTTATAGTCCATTATCACTCCTAAATTGTTGACGAGGAAAGAGATACACAGAAGAGTTAAGTAACTTGTCCAGGGTGGAGGCAGCGATCATAGTGACAAGCAATCAGATTCTGGATATGTTTTGAAGGTACAGACAAAAGATTTGCTGACGGATAGGATGTAGGAGCGGAAGAGAGAGGACTGAAGGATGACATCGGGAGTATCGGTTTGACAAACTACTTGGATGATGGTGTCATTTCCTGAAATGGAGAGGCTGGGGAAAGAGCAGAAGTTCCATGCTGGAATGAAGCTTGAGATGTCTATGAGAGTATGCAGCTGGATCTATGAGTCTGGCTGGAGGAGATAACATTTGAATTTGTCTGCAAATAGAATTGGAAGCCATAAGATTGGATGGGCTCACTAAGAAAATGAATATAGGGAGAAAATGGAAGAGCTCCGAGGACTGCACCTGAGGTCTACCCAGTGTTGTGTTAAGAGCTCAGGAAGAACCAGCAAGTGAGGACTGAGAACTGACCATTGCGTTTAGCAACCCCGAGTTCACTGACAGCCTTGACGAGAGCAGCTGTAGTGTACTGAAAGCCATATTCGAATGGGCTCAAGAGAGAGTGGAGAGAGAGGAAATGGAGCCAGTAAGGATTGCAGGCTTAGAGCTGCAATGGTCCAATCCACCCGAGCTGATAACTCAGTGGATTTAACTAGTTGGGAGTCTATCTCCCTACCTATATGTAGCTGGTCTTGGACACCATCAAAATATCACCAGCCTGGCCTATCTATGGCCAAGGTGGAAACGATGTCAGAACGGTCATGCTGTTAGGTGATACAGCAACATTTACACTGTGTGTGTGCCACGGCTCCCCGCACAGGCCGCTGTTGGTGCGAGGAACCCTTGCCTGACCTGCCGACTCACTTAGGAGTGTTCTTGTCACCAGTCCCTTGGCAAGCCCTAGGCCCAGTGTTCATGTGCTGCTCTTCAGTCAGCCCTTGATAGGTGTGGCCCAGGTCTGCAGATGGCAGAACAATATTTCTAAGCAGAAAATAAATGGTCACAAATTTATATCTAATTAGTGAGGATTGGATATATACATATATATACACACTCACCTTTAGTGTGAAAAAGAACCACAAACAGTACCAGTTAATTCAATTACATACATATTTAAGTAGCACTGCATACAAGGCATATTCTAGGTATTGGGGCACATACATAGATATTTCAAGTGGGCTTTCTTCCCTCAGTTACATACTCTTCTAGAAGACTCTGGAGAATAATAAAAGTAACTAATGATAAGGAAAGATGTGATATGCAATGTGATTTTTATATAAAGGGAGAAAGGAACTAGGAAACTAACTTCTGGTTAAGGTACTCAGGAACATCTTTCTGACATCAATATTGAACCAAGTTTTAAAGAAAATACTACTGAATTTTTAAAATCTTAGAATGGGGAGTCCGGCCAGTGTGGCTCAGTGGTTGAGTGTTGACCCATGCACCAAGAGGTTGCCGGTTTGATTCCTGGTCAGGACAGATGCCCAGGTTGTGGGCCTGATCCCCACATGCAGGAGGCGGCCAATCAATGTTTTCTCTCTCTAAAATCAATAAAGAAAAAACAAAATAAAATCTTAGAATGGGGAATGCTAATTTAAGCATGACAGGAAACCAAGAAGCATAGGAAGAATATTGATACCATTAACTAATTAAAAATGTAAAACTTTTAAATGGTCAAAAATGTCTTAAGCAGAGTCAAAACAAATAGCAAACTGGAAGACATATTTGCAGTTTTCTTACTATACAAAGTGCACTTAAACATCAAAATGTAAAAGACGGCGGTGAAAGGAAAAGAAATATAAATGGCCAATAAATATGTGAAAATATTCTCTCATAATTTAAAAAATATGAGGAAAGCAAGAAGGAGACACCATCTGTTACTTATGGAATGGCAAGGACTTGGAAGTGTGATACATCCAGTAGGGCAGCTAGGATGTGGAAAGAGGCACATTCTACGTTGTTGATGGGAATGCAGATGTATACAGTAATTAAGGGCAACTCTAAAATGTTAAATGTCCGAGTTTGAAATGTCCATAACTTACAGACATTCCGTCATAGAGAGGGTCCCTGAGACAGACTCTGAGACAGAGATGAGCATGCAGGGAGGGCTCCTGGGTGGGACTGTGGGGGGCAAGGAGACTGGACGGGACCAGGGAGAAGTCGGCGGAGATGCCGTCTCCACGGAGACCTCTGCCGACCCAGAAGAGCTCTGAACTGGAAGGCTCTTCCGAGTTGTCCAGAGTCGAGGTGAGAGGGCCGGGTCCACATAATCCGCCACGTGAATCAGTCGGGAGAGAAAAGCTGCCCAGAGAAGGTGTGACCTTCAGTGAGGTGACTTCCTTCTGCCAGGGCAATTCTGAACTGAGGGCGAGCAGGGGGGAGGAAGAAGCCCCTCAGTCCTGAACGGGAACCCGAGTGAACATCACAGTGCCACTGCCCATGCTCTCACAAATGGGCAAAGGGAAGGAACTGGAGATGCAAGAAAAGGAATGGCAACGATGTGACAAGGCCCAGGGCAGGCTGGGAGAAACAGGGTCAGGACACAGGTAGACTCCATGGGTTTAGAAAAGAAAGAGGACACACCTGATCTGTACAAAAGAGAAGACAACGGGGTTAGAAAGAATTGGAGAGCAGTTTGGATACGAGAAGGCATTCACATGAGCTAGCCTTCATTTTCTGAGAAAAATAAGATGTGATTTACTGACAATAAGAGAGGTGGAGGTAGAGTTGAGGGATTAAAGAAATAATAACTGCCCTGGCCGGTTTGGCTCAGCGGTTAGAGCATCAGCCTGAGGTCCAGAGAGACCCGGGTTCGGTTCCCGCTAAGGGCACGTACCTCGGTTGCAGTTTGTCCCCGGCCCTGGTCAGTCGTGCGGGTGGCAGCCACTCAATGTGTTCCTTTCACATCGATATTTCTCTCTCTCTCTCTGTTCCTCTCTCTCCCTCCCACTCTACCTGAACAAAAAATGGAAAAATGTCCTCAGGTGAGGATAAAAATAATAATAATAATAACTGCTGTAGGAGTGAACAAATGTTGACTGAATGAAAGAATTGATGAAGAGCAATGAGGGCCCTCAGGTTGGACAGGTGGCTACAAACATGCCTGCCTGTCCTGCAGGTGTGGTCCAGACTGGTGGGTAAGGGGTCACTGCCTGGACCAAAGGCTTCTCAATTGGGACAGCCCATCCAAGGGGCTGAACAATTCAATCAAATGTTTCCTGGAGTCAGAATGGAATGGACTTTTCTTTGTCCAGCTACACAGCTGTGGTCTTCTGTTTACTAGGGTGAGTTGAATGAACCATATCATAGGAGAACCTCTGATTTCAGTATTTTTATATCTTCTTCTTGGACCCCTCAGATCCTCCAGGGAAGACATGCCCAATATCCTACACATTGCCTACAGTGTATACATCTGGCTATGCGTGTTCTGGGAAGAAGGTTAAGTCCTCAGCGTTCAGAGTATACCTTTCACTGAATCTGTTTTCAGCACTATA